TAGGCTTTTTTACACGACTGCCCCAAAAAAAGGAGTTTTATGGTGTTTCAAATAGGTATACGCTTTTTTCTTAAAGGTTTAATTGTCTTACCCCCGGTTTCCGAAAGGCCGTTAATGTCAATGTTAAAATCAATTTTATCTCTTGTCAAGTCATCTGATTGGTTGACTGAATTATCAACAACCAATCAGATGACTTGACAAGAGATTTAACAGGAGATTAGTTAATTTTAGCGTTGACATGCCTTTCAGAAACCGGGTGATAGTCTTACAAATACCGCCGGTGAAGTTTATTCCACAGTTCAGCACGTTTATATTTGTGATATTTGTAGTTGAATAGATGAACCAACTAGTTGTGTTAATATAACAATTTTATGTATAAGAAACTTAAAAATTAAGTGCTGATTTTTCAATAATCAGATAAATGTTATCTAAGAAATAAAATTGTTGCTGTCACTGTCTTATACAAACATTCTGACGCGTTAGCATCATAATTATTCCCCAGGTAACTATTATCTAACCATTGAAAAATCAGCCCTAAACTTAAAATTAAAAGAAACATTCAAATATTACAAGCCAAGATTACAATTTCCCAAGAAAATTGTGTGTTCTCCGAACAATCGCGATGTTGTCGCTCCATCTCCGCCCACGTGCGGTCGCGTGCCTGTTTTTGCCTGCATATGCACATAATGTGTCCGACAATTAATTGAGCTGTTAGTCGCGCTACGATTAATTCCCGATGCTCACGCCTCAATCACTCACTCTACACAACTGGTATTTACATGCTGTTGACACTGGAGTTTCGTTTTTGTTCATTGCTCGTAAAGTTTCATTTCAATGATGATTGTTACATGAAATTAATTTGTTCTTTTTCATTAAATTTGTATCAAAAACCTCGATTGATCGTGGGATTTTGGAGCCATAATATATTCCTACATTAAATATGTACATTATCTGTTTTTAAACCGCGAACCTTAGCTGAGCTTGGAGCGTGCTTGAGATATGCCAGTGGTCCCGTCTCAAAGGACCACCAGCTTTTGTCTCTAAGTTAGATGATATTTTATGATACATATTCATTCGGAGTTGGGTTCAAAGCTGGCAAGTACCAATGTAACATTTTCTGGGTTTTAAGTATTTTCTAGGATAATTTAGACACCAGTGAAGGAAAAAATCTTGAGAAAGTCTAGTCTTATAATTTTGTGGTCGTGGTGGCCCGGAGGTTGAGGAGCCCACTTCTCATGCATGAGGGTGTGGATTTCGAAACCTGGCAAGTACCAATGTGGCTTTTTCCAAGTTATATGTACTTTCTATGATTATTTAGACGCTACTGACATACGGTGAAGGTAAACATCGTGAGGAAACCTGGACTTATAATTTATAATTATAAGTTTGTAATCGCCAACCCGCATTGAGCAAGCGTGGTGATTCATGCTCAAACCTTCTCCGTGTGAGAAGAGGCCTTTGCTCAGCAGTGGACACTTATGGGCTGATGATGATGATGATGATGATAATTTTGGAATTGCCAATCCGATTTGAGCAAGCGTAGTGATTAATGCTCAAACCTTTTCCGTGTGTGTAGAGGCCTTTGCTCAGCAATGAGCACTTCTATAATGATGATGATGATGATGATAATCTATTAAGAAGATAAAACATATACGTAGCTATGTAACCTTATGTTTTTTTTTTGTATTAGCTATTAGCAATAGACGGATGTCTAGTACTTATAATCATTAAAATATTAAAATATTTCTGTAGCTCCCATCCGATTCAGGCACTTTGCCATATAAACTCGCTGATTAGCAGTGACCTTTCCCAAGAGAATAATATAGAAAGTTCAATAGCATAATATGAAACTTGAGTACAGAAACCAAGGAAGGTCATCTCCCAGTCAAACCAGAAGTAACAAAGGTCATATTATTATGTTTAAACTATTTACGAGTTTTGTAGCACTCCACTGATTCCTAACTCGTTTCCATTCATCGCCACGGGCGGTTATATGATACCTTTATTTAAGCCTACTCTGTAAGAATTCTACCGTTTTAAACTGCAAAATTCGTGTGGGGAGATCGAGGCTGAACTTGGGCAATAGGCCTTCCCAATGTTTTCCAGATTGGAAGCAACGTTAACGCTGAATGACTATTAGGAGCGAGGAGGATCCAATGACTTACACCCTCTTTAAAGAATCAATGATACAACCATAAAACGGCACTTTTACACGTCAAAATTACATGTAAAAAAAACTAGATGAAGTCGGCATTTCCTATCTGACTACTCTGAAAAGAAATGCCGACACAGTCTCAGAAGTGCGTCTCTTTTTAAGTCCATATAATATAAAAAATAATATTATTCTATTATATTCTGTAGTAGTGGTCTTTTAAGGAAAGAACCACACCAGTTTAAGTAGACCCGTTTTGAAGAGACACGCAAGTGTCAGTTTACAACCACTTTAACTAAAGGCTGTTGCTGAGTTGTCCGACGAACAATACCGATCAAAAGAACATTTTGGTGGGTCGCGAAAATACTTAAACTGTCAAAACGCAGATAACTAGCAGTCGAAAAGTGCGACAGTCTCACATGGTCCTTACACTAACAATAATTGCCGAAATACTAAAAATTATAATGTAAATGTTACTTAGGTACAGAAATGTCAACATGACCTTTACAGAAGTTACAGCAGCTCATTCGCAAACTTTATTCATACAAACGGATACAGGGACAGAGTAAGCGAATTCGTTTATACTATGTAGTGATTAGTAATATAGGTGTTATATGGTTCGTTTCAGCGCTACGTGGGTCTGCCAGTGATGCTGAAAGCAGGGGAGTATTCGCCCAACAACCCGTTGGTGCGGGGCGAGCGCGCGGCGGGGGACGCACTCCTAGGACTCGGAGAGTACGAGCGGCGCCGGAACACGCTGCGGAAGATACGGCAGCAACAGTACAGAGAGTATCTCGATCAGGTATCTCACATCACATCATTAGCCTATAAGTGTTGACCGGAGTGATACCAAGCCTTCACAGAAAACCGGCGTGAAATAATCACAGCGTTGTTTCGCCATGTGAATGAATGAATGAATTACCGGAGGCTAAATCCCTCCCCGTCCCCTATTCCTTTCCCAATGCTTAAATATCCGCAACCCTTATCGCCAAAAGGCCGGCAACACACCCGTAACTCCTTTCGTGTTGCGGGTCCGGTTTCGATGTCCATGGGCGGCGCCGTTTGCTAACCATCAGGTAATCCGTCTGCTTGTGTGCCAACTTATGCCATAAAAAAGGCTTTTCACTACGCTTGCTCAAGGCGGTTTAGCGAGTTCAAACTTAATTATCAGTTGGCTGCTATAATTTCTGATTATATGTTTGAACTCTCGTGAGACATTCGAAATTAATTATTATGTTTTCGGCTTACTCACGAAATTATAGCAGCCAACTGACTGCGCAGCCGTCGCGACGCGCACGCTGCTCATGAATAAGAGTCCCGTCGTGACTTTAAATTTTGACCTTTTGCTTCGCGGGAGTAAGTCGTTACTTTAATTTTTTTAACAAATTTAGTATGTCTTACGATAGTTTCTATTCAAAGTAAAATAAGCTATTACTTTATGTACCAGAGCAATGAATTGTATTAAATCAATTTCAGGTTCATTTAGATTTACTCTACGTATTGCTTAGACCATACAAGTCATTTACTTTAATGAATCCTATGCAACAAGCATGATACTTCTATCCAGGGGCCCGAGTCTACTATTTTCAAAGTGTTGTCATTCCTACAATTGTAATACTACTACAAAACAAGTGAATTATAGTACGAGATGTCTTGTAACGAATTATAAAGGAACTGTCATTTTTTTATTAATTTACCGCATTATGTCAAATATTCATTATGTACGAGATTACCGTTCTAAAGAATTATTTCAATGAAGTGGCATTGGGAGGTCATAATGATGCTATCGGGTTAGTAGATTACCAAACTTGTCAAAATCAACAATTTTGAAACCAATGATCTACTACTCTGACACTATTGTAATAGCAGACTCGAAGCCCTGTACATTATCAAATGGCTTTAAAAACCTTCCGTTCCTTCTCCTGCTCTGGGCCGAGGCCGCGGTTCTTCATTGCGCTAACCCCGCAGACTGACATTATACGTTTACTACCTGACATTATATTTCAAATATATTATGAAGTCGTATACCGAAAAGACCACAGAAGGTTTAAAATACTCTAAATCTTCGGAAACCTAACTGAAATCTCTGAGCCAATCTTCAAGCCTTTGTTCAGCTCTGAACGTTCAATAATAATCACATATCCAATCCAAATAATATGTATAATTGTTCCAGCAAGCCAAAAAGAAGCAAGAAGCCAAAGAGCAAGCAGAGAGGGAGCGCCGCGAGAGAGAGCAGAGAGAGAGAGAACGAGAGGAGAGGGAGAGGGAGATACTGCAAGAGCGAGAGAGGTATAGCGCGGAGCGACGGCGCAGCGTGCAGTGTATAACGGACTCAACTGTGTATAGCAGTACCAAGTATGTATAAAATCAATTCTATTTTTAGGCCGCGTTTTAATGAGATAAGTCGGCAAAGCAGAAGGGTTACCTGATGGTAAGCAATCAGCATCGCCCTCAACACCAAAGGAGTTATGAGTGAGTTGCCGGCCATTTGAAGATATGGGTTGCGGATATTTAACAATTGAAGGATTTGGCGTCCGTTAACCTCATATAGACGCTGTGGTTGTTTCACCCTGGTTTTCTGTGAGGCCGTTGTATCGGTCGAGCCGACCCATTCGTGCCGAAGCATGGCTCAATATGTCCTAAAATTATAAACGTAAAACTTTGCAATTATGGAATGGATGGATGGAAGCATGTTTATTACTGTTTTATGTAAAAATTACTGAACGTTGAGATGTTGTTGGAATACACCTAATTTTCTCCGAAATATATTATTGCTTTGTATAACAGACGAATGCTTTTCATCCGGGTTAAGCGGGCGATGTCGTTGTAAGAAGCTACCTAAAATATAATGTTGTATTGTTTCAGTAAAGTGGATATGGGCGTGCAGGTGGACGGGTTCTCGTGCCCTCTCTCCGTCGCGGTACAAACTGATGACAACGATATGTTCCAGGTAAGGTTCTACTCATTTTTATTTATGTCATAGGTAGGCGCGGTCGACGGATTATCTGATGGTAAGCAATCAACGCCGCCCATGGATAATCGTTATATCAAAGGAGTTACTACACGTGTGTTGCCGACTTCTTGTGGGTTATTAGGGTTTTAAGAATAGGTGATTTGGCTAGATTTGGTTTGGTGAGGATGGTGGGGGGGGGGAAGGTCTGGACCTTCACGTCGGTTTTATCATTCCGGCCGAACCAATCCATTCGCATACCGTTGTTGCATTCTGCTACTTTTTTTAGTGGCAAAGCCTGCCATATCTTCCCAATATCGCTGCAGCTCCTGTAAGCCAGGATCTACAGTAGATACAACCATGAAAACACCGGGACGCTGAAGTCCGGCGCGTCCCAGGGACATGAATGACTGTCTTGCGTCCCTCAACTAAATAGATTCAATATTATTTGACGAGAAGAACAGAATGAAATAGTTTCCCTTTTCTAATTGAATGCAGGTGACAGAATGACTTAAGCCTGAAAGGCACAAAAGAGACTGTATAACGGGGAGAAGCCCAGTCATTTGATAACTTTCCATCCTCAAAAAAGTTTTCAAGTAATCATGGTGCTTACAATTCGTATATATATAATTTCAGTGGCTAATGTTTTACTCAGTATAATCTGTTTTGTCGTATTGTTATGAAAATAATGGGTAACGGGACTAGTGCCTATCCATTTTAGTTTTTTGTATTATTTTTAATGTGATTCCTTATAATAAGACCTGTCGTTACCCACCCAGTTGCCGGGCCCCGGCAAGTCTCAGCTGACGGAGGCGGAGCGCGAGTTGTCCCCGCGGTCGGCCGGCCCGCCCGCCCACTGGGGGCAACCACGCAGGCGGAGCTACGGCGACTACGACGGTATGGAACTTATATTCACATGAAAACATAATGATATTAATACATAATCAACCTATCAGTGCCTACTACTGAGCAAAGGTCTCTTGTCACACGGAAAAGGTTTGAGCAATAATCACCACGCTTGCTCAAAACCGATTGGCGATTTCAAACTTATAATTAGAAATACATATATAACTCGGAAAAAGTCACATTGGTACTTGCCAGGTTCCGAACCCGCACCTCGCAACCACAACACTCAATGATATTAATGAATAGACATATAATTTAATAAATCGGCTTTATAGTACAAAAGCGTGCGAAACAGTTTTCTCTCTCTGACAGTTCGGACCTAGAGAGGGGGTCGCGCGTTAAAATGGCGTATGACTAGTGTTGCCCGCCCTATCTTCGTAGGATTTTATTTCCATCACTAATAACATTGTTTTACGGCTCAAAAGTGACTTGGAAGTCAGGTCTATTCATACCTATTATGAAAGAAAGAAGGAAAACCATTTATTTTATGCTTTTAATGTCGATGTAGCTCGAAGGAGTGCATGTAAGGCCCGCTTCTCATACCCGAGGGTGTGGGTTCGAAACCTATGGGGATTAGAAAACCATTGTGGCATATTTCGAATTATATGTACTTTCTTTTCTAAGTCAGGAAAAATCGTGAGGAATCCTGAACCCACTTATAATTTCTTATTACTTATAAATATAAATTTGGAATCGCTAAGCCTTCAGCTAGGGCGGTGGAAAAATTCTCAAATCTTCTCCATGTATGAGGCCGTGATATCACCGGGGTCGAGCCGGCCCATTCGTGCCGAAGCTTGGCTCTCCCAAACTAAATGTTTAATGTATTCCAGTGCGTACATCGTCCCTGGTGAAGCAATGCTCGCGCGACAAATTACCATCAGAGCCGCGCTTCTCTCGGTCTATATTCGATGCTGACGCCATACAACTACGCAATATGCAAGCTGAGAAGGTAACGTTTCCTTTTTTACAATACATTGTAATTGTCTGGGTTACTGTACTTATCCCGCCCCCTTCCGAAAAATATAATTGACAGTGTTTCTGGACTTGTCCTGCACCCTTCCGAGAAAGCAAGTGTCAAATGCTTACTGACTAAAACCACCGACCACAATAGATTAACACAATCAAGTTTTTTTAAATTAATTACGTGCAAACTTTCTTTTGACTTCCACGGATAATTCAAGACGTTGATCGGTAAAGGCGTTGTTGAGTTATAAAATTACAACGAAAAGTGCCATTGATTTTTTCATATGTTACAAAGAATTTATTGAAGATATTATAAAGAAGTCAAATTTGTAAGTTTGTATGTAGGTGGTAATATTTGCTATAGGCTATAAAACATCACCTTAGGACCAATTTGAGCCAAGCAGCGTGCAAAACAGTGCGGCAATAGCAAAGTAGTTAAAAAATAAATTTGTTGCAAAAGTATGTACTGTAGAATTAGTAATGTAATAGAATCAACAATGAGATGTTTCGTAGCTGCAACTACTTAAATTAAACTTTATGTACGTAAAAAATAAAGATGAAATTATAAAATATTGCAGGAAGCAGCAGAACGCCGCCAGTTCTACCAACAAGAGCTGAAGAATCAAATTCTTGAACAACAGAGAATTAGAGAGGAAAGGAAAACTAGGGAGAAGTAAGTTTGGGCGTTTATTTATTTATTTATATAGATATTTAGAAGTCCTTACTACCAAGATAATCAGCATACTTGCTAATTTCGCGGATTGGGGAATCACCGCCATTAACAGTCTTAATTTTTTGAGTAACTACATCTATACTGATATTATAAAGAGGTAAAATTTGTAAGTTTGTATGTAGGGGGTATTCTTTGGAACCGCTGTCCGGATTGCCAAAATTCTTTCACTGATATATAGCTACAAGGTTGCTGAGTGCGATGGGCATAATAGGCATAACGTAGGCATAAACATCACGCTACGATTAAATGGAGCTGAGTAGCGGGTGGAACCGCGCGAGAGTAGCTAGTGTGAAATAACCATAGTGTTGCGTTTAGCCGTGTGAGTGAGGTTACCGGAGTTCCACTGCCTGTTCCACCACAAGGCCGGCAATGCACTCGTAACTCCTTTGGTATTACGAGTGTCCATGGGCGGCGCTGATTGCTTACCATCAGGTAATCCGTCTACTCGTTCGTCGACCTAGGACATAATATAAGTTTGTAACTTACAGAATGTTAGAACAAGCGGAGATGCGTCGTCTAGAGGAACAACTGCGCATGCTACGCGTCGCCCAGGATCGGGAACTAAGCAAACAACAGGATATCACTGCCGCGGTGAGTCTGTCTTATATACTGAATACTAGCTTTTGCCCCCGATTTCATTCGCGTGAAATAGTGACTTCCTGCAGATTTTTGGTATAAAACTATGTCTGTACTAAATATCACAGAAATCGGTTCAGTAGTTTAGGCGTGAAGAAAAGACAGACAGATAGAGTTACTTTCGCATTTATAATATCAGTTTGGATTATAAAGCTAAAGATTTTGTTTGTTTGAACGCGCTAATCTCGCCAACTACTGGTTCGATTAGAATATTTTTTTTCGTGTTTAATAGACCATTTATTGAGGAAGGCTTTAGGCTATAAAACATCACGCTACGATCTGTAGGAGCTGAACAGCGGGTGAAACCGCGCGAGAGTAGCTAGTTATAAAAATAAAACTTCGTTGGTCTCGCTAAAACTTGATAATAGCTGAAGTGATTTGCCTCAATTTAGTCCTTAGATACTTGTACAGCGAAAGCTTAAGTTACTTTAAATATTTTAACACGAAAAAAAAAACAAAACAAAACAAACAAGTGTCCCTATTTCTTAGCTAGCTTGTTTTTTTTTCTTTTCTCTTTCTCATCTTTTTTTTCCTTTTTCTTTTCTTTTTCTTTTCTTTGTCTTTTCTTTTATAAAACCGTTGCCTTATACTAGGATTATCTCCTGTGTCGAAGGTGCGTTTACAAACATACAATTTCCCATACACATCACACCCAGCATATATACAAAACAGATGCGGTATACACAGATCCGATATATACAAAGATTTGTGTGGCTTTTATAGCTGTTGTATTATGTTTGCTGTAATTAATTCCTTTGCATACTTAAATTGAATTAACACGAATATTCTCAATTACAGATGAAAGAAAACGCCACAGAATACCACAACAAGCGCACAGAACTACAAAAAGATATTGATATCGAACAACGCAACCTACGCGTGGCCACGCAACCACTCCGCAACACGCAACAACGCAACATGAGAGAGACCAACAGAAATGAGACAAGCCCATCCAAACTCCCTTTCTACTATCCGCGCGTACAAGAAAGAACAAACGAAATATGTGATAAAAAACCTTACTCAATGAACATACCTGATACTTCAATATTCTCTGCAAATTACGACGTAGATTCTTACCTAAGAAAGAATTTAAATTTTAACACAAAATACGGGAAAGACGATGAAAGCATCACAGAGAGACATGACCATAACAAATTAATTGAAAAGGCTTTAGTTCACCGTCCAGAGGAACTGGACCGTCCTATAGAAGTGAAACCGTCCTACGGGGAGACCATTGATAGTTTGCCGATACCTGTCCTTCGACACTCCCCTAAAATACCTCTAGATATCGATGAAACTCCAGCAATGAGTGAAGCTATGAAAAAAGTAGATGATAAATGGAAAGTGCCTGCAGTACAGAAGAATATTTTGAAAGCTCTGCCCAATGAGGAAGGGAAAAGTGTTAATATATTGACGCAACTCGGTTCTATAAGGCGGCAGTTGCAATTAGAACAGTTGAAATTAGACAAAATGATCAGTAATGATGATGTGTGAGTTGTAAGCGGTCATTGGTTGGAAACTGATCGATTCACGTCGCGTACCTTAAGTGGTAGACTGGGGATAAAGTAAGAAAATAATGGTCTTGCAAGAAGTGATAAGAAACTTGAATATCGAAGGTTTACAGCGCTTTGAAATGTACTAGCGTTACGACGTTATGTAGTTTTTTTATGTGATATATACATATATTTAGGTAAACAAGTGGATGATCACCTGATGGGAAACAATCGGATATCGAAGGATTTGAGGATTGGTGGGTAGCCATTGCAAATTAATGTTTTTTATTTTAATTACGTAAGGAAATAATATAACGTGTCCAATATTAAACGTTAATATACAGAACGGACATTTACAAATTATTAATTTAGTTATCATTTCTACTCATAACAGTCATTAAATTTAATAGAATTAGATCCAAAAAAGAGCAAATTTTACATCTACTCAATACAAAATCGACCTAACAATGTTTGTTATAAGGCTAAATTATCTAGGAGCAATATTGTACTTGTTTTGTGCACAAAGTTTTTAATGTATAATTAATTTTATAGCAGATCTCTTTGTTAATGTTAGGTTGGCTTTAAAGGTATACTACGTAGAATAGGTAATCTAGCCTCTATTTTAGATCCTTAAATTTTGAAAAAAATTGCCAAAAGTTTAAGTTAACTATCTTAATATTTCTTGCAGTTATTTAAAGGCCTCTATGCACTACTGCGTTTGCTAAAATTTTTAATGATATATCATAAAAACTGGATTGTCTAGTCGTAAGCGCAACTATTAACAACTATTTTCTGTTCTATTCTCGAATGGCGTGAGTTTTATTGAGGAAATCCTTTTTATATATCATCAAATAATGTATAATCGGAAATGACGAAAGGCTTGCTTTTCCCAATTACATAGAAATAATACACTTAGGTCAGATTTTTCAATGGTTAGAAAAATTGTTGCTGTCACTGTCTTATACTAACATTCTGACGCGACATCATCATAATTATTATTTAACCGATAATTTTTATTTAACCATTGAAAAATCATTTTAAGCAGTTTAAAACTAAGTTAATCTCATTAGTTTTCGTATGCTTATTAATTCAAAGGAAAAAATGATGTAATAATAATATAGCAAAGCATACTAGATTCATAAACGCAGTAGAGCTTATTTTGTTCAACAGTTTTATAATAATTCATTATATTAAAGAAATTGTTCTTTTTATATAACCGACATAAGTAGTGTTGCCATCAATAAAATATCCATATTTCAGTGTAGCCATGTTTGTCTATTTTATTTTGAATTGTGTTAAATTGTTTTATAATATTATCCTTATTATGTATATATGTTCTCAATTTGTTTATAATGATTATTGTTTTAATTGTGTCGAAATGGTCGTTTGTTTTTGTTTCGGTATTATTTTTAGAATTTTGAATGAATATAATAATTGTTTTATTATTTAATTATTGATTATTTATTGGTAAATTTTATCCCTATTTCGACCCTACGATTGTTTAGTGAATAGTAATGATCCGATCCTAATCTGTCACTGATATAATAATCCAACTAATATTATAAATGCGAAAGTTACTCTGCCTGTCTGTCTGTCTGTGTGTTTCGTCACGCCTAAACTACTGAACCAATTTCTGTGAAATTTGGTTCAGACATAGTTTGGAACTCGAGAAAGGACATGTGATTTTTTTATACTAAAAATCTGTAGGAAGTCTCTATTCCACTTTATTTTCAGTAAGAAAGGTGATACAAACTATTTTGAAGAGAAATCGATATTTTAGTTATCCCTTTCTTGCTACTTAACTAATATACTACTAAATAATTCATAATCCAAATGTATTAGAAAGTTATCCTTATATAGAATCAGTCTCAATACCATTTTAATATTTTATTCCAATATAGTGCAATTATTCTTTGTTTATAAGTAGTGCCAAAGATTTCGTATGTCTTTTTTTATTATATTATAGCTAGCTTAAATTCTAGTTCCGTTTATATTAACGAAGGTCGCCTAGATATACATATATGTATGCTATAATCACGCTGGATTTTTGTGTGGCTGTGGTGTTACTACGGTCGAGTCAAACCATTCGTGCCGAAACTGGGCTCTCCTTCTATTCATAAAGCTGATATGAAAACAGTTTGTTAATATTAAATACACGAATAACTAAAATATGTATTAAACGTAAACGTTTAATACATCAAACCCCAAGCAATCGCCGGCTTTCGCGCACCTATAGTGTTACGAATTACTACGATTCAAATGGTTGAATAGCTTCTGTAAATATAAAAGGAATTCTACGCATCATATTACTCTAAAATCACACTTATATCGATAAAAATAGATACGAAAGTACCATGTCGCCATTCAATTTCGCGTTAATACACCTGTCTCTTTCACACAAACCATTTTTAGTTAATACTAGAAAGAGATAAAAATATGATTAGTCGAGGCTTTTTGTATAAGTTAGTAATTTAAAAGCTATATTAATTTTAAGTTTGTTATTCGCACAATTTTTGTATTTGTAAGTTATCGAAAGACTGCATGGTAAGGAAAAGAGCTTGGCTAAGGAAAGTGAGATTAATATAAGATATATTTATAATATAATTATATAATTTTAATGTTATTTTTTATAATGGCTAAATATATTTTCATGTTAACGCTTAATCAATGGTTTGCGGAGATCGCTGAAGGAATGTACCTATTCTTTATTATCCAATTTCATTTTATTGTAGATGTTTGAAGTTCAAAGATGTAGGTAGACTTACGAAACTCAAAAAGTTTTTAGTTACATTGTCTGCTGAAGTGCAAGACCGTAAGAAACACAATCAATTCTCAATAAACAGAAAATGATACATAATAAATTATATCGGTGTTAATATGATGGTAGATTGCTAAAATCTGCGGTTTTATCAAAATTCTTCATAAATTAGACTATCTTCTGAAAGCATCGATTTAATCTCGTGAATGAATTATTGAGGAGAAAAGTCTCTATTACTTTGAAGTCACAACGGGACTCTAATTTATGAGCAGCCTGCGCGCAGCCAAATGTTGGCTATAAGAAGCCCGTTGTAACAACATATATATATTTACGCGGGTATTAACGCGGAAAATTCATACCAACCGGGTCGAAACATCAAGCCTACCAAGGTATTCAAATAATAAGTTTCCGCGTGTCGGTAGTGTCGTGGTGGCCCAGGGGGTTAAAGAGCCCGCATCTCATGCATGAGGGTGTGGGTTCGAAACCTGGCAAGTACCAATGTGACTTTTTCCCAGTTATGTGTACTTTCTATGATTATTTAGACACAACTGACATCCGGATCGTGAGGAAACCTGGACTAATAATTTCTAATTATAAGTTTGAAATCGCCAACCCGCATTGAGCAAGCGTGGTGATTAATGCTGTAACCTTCTCCGTATGAGAAGAGGCCTTTACTCAGCAGTGGGCACTTATAGGCTGATGATGATGAAGTTTCCGCGTTAATACCCGTGAAAATAAATATATGTTGTTAATATGAAACGCGAAAGTTTAAAAGCCCGTTGTAACTTGAAACTAGTAGATATTATTTAAGTTAATTCACGTAATTAAGTCGTTATTTTTATTAAATTTAGTATGTCTCACCAGAGTCACTATTAAAAAAATATACTATGTTCTATAGGTGAAAATCCGTCCAAAAGTGTGTGTAGTATTTGGCCAAATATTCTACCTTGATACGATTTTGCACTTTAGCAGACACTATGCTGTCTTGCCGGTGTTAAAATAAAATCCATTGAAATACTAAAGACACAGAATGTATTAAATTTTTTCGCCTACACTGTAACAATTCGTTTAGTGAGCTTTCTATGCAAGCACGTTAATCATATTGTTTTATTACGAGTAGTATATACCTACATAATAGTCAAAAATGGTGTGAAGATTTTTGATGCTGACAATGACCAAGTATCTACTATTAAAGTTTTTATCAAATATACCTAGAGGGTGTTATTTTCAAAGAGGGACATCAATGATATTACCTTTATATTAACAGATATGTTATAAGCGCGTAAAAGTGAATACTCGAAAAGGATAGGTACAATTGTATACAAGTGCAATAAATAAGTCTCTCTTAGAATATCTCTATGTTTGTTTACGTTGAGTACGTACGTAATTGTTAACAATAGCTAATTCGTTTTTTCTGTTGGATTTATCATACTATCCTTTTTCTACAATTTTAACTTGTAGTGACATGTACAATTAATGAAAGGTATGTGATTGTGCTCACGCTTAGCACGGAACACATTTTTGATGCGTTTTGTGAGCGTATAACATATCTGTGTTAAAATAATTGAGGGACATATTTAAGGACCCGATTTTGGTGCTAAAATAAAACAAATTTGTTTCCCCATATAAACCGCAAGTGCTGATTGATCTTATGTAAAAAGTTGTTTTATTTGCACCAGAATTCGTCCGAAAGCGTCCCTCGTTTGAAATAACATTCTGTATTTTAAAACAAGCAAAATATCTTGGTTACAAACTACAACAGAGTTAGAGTATATTTTTTCATAGTTCAAAATAATCGTTAGTTTATGACTTCAATAGTTTGTAATCTCTCAATCTATTCATCATATTATGCACAGTAAGAAGATAAGCCTTGACAATATGTTTAATGATTGGAAATACATTCATTTTTTTATTAAACAGCTTGTGTAAAATTTCATTAAAAACAACGTATATCCAGAGTGAGAATTTGATTTTCAACTTTATAGTTTTACAATAAAATAGAATTTTTAATACCAACCTACATTTTTAGAAATAACTGATTCATGGTGGTTATTGTTGAGTTTCAGCCTTAGTAATGAATTGGTAACTTGTTATAAGTATATTACCATCTCATAGATAATTAAGTAGCCCGAATTCGTTGACCCTATTCCGCTTAATTTGCGTCCGTTGTGTATACGTGATTTTGAATAAAACGTTCCATTTTATACATTTTTGTGTTTTATTTTTATAAACCTTTATTACCGAGCTTTGATCTGTTATAACTCTTATTACAAGGCAATAAAGCCTTTTAATTTATTTATGTATAATGTTAAAATACAGTAAAATAAATATCCAAAATATAGTCTTTAGTTTCTAGACGCCGCCGCGCCGTAGCGGTGTCATCGTGTTACCTACCCATATTGCTAAAATTCTGACCAATAGAGGAACATTCGTGGATATTTTTTTTCTACTTAAACTTTTGGTTCATTATAGTGATTTTGCAGATAATTGTATTTT